AAGCCTAAGTTACTGCTTGTTGCACCACTCAGAATGGGACTTAGAGGTTTACATTGGGAGGGGCTTTTGGCCATCTGGTTGATCTGCGCTGCTCAAAGCAGTGCCCCCTTAAAAATGTGATCAAGTTGCTCAGGATTTTGTCTAGTTGAGGTTTGACTATCTCTAGGTATGGAGATTCTACAACCTCTCCCAGCCTCTCCTCCAGTGCTTTGCTATTCTGACTGTGAAGAATTTGTCTCCTTCTACACAGTCAGAATCTCCTTTGCTGCAACTTGTGTCCACTTGTCTCATGCTTTCACTGTGCACCTCGTAGAGGAATCTAGCTCTATCTTCTCTTTAATTACCTGCAACGGGAGCCCACCTTTGCAAACGGGAGCCTTTGCAAACGGGAGCCTTTGCAAACGGGAGCCACCAGGACAAACAAATCCAGCATATTCAGCATCTCCTCCAATGTCCCCAGCAGGGGGAACCACCCCTTATCTTGACGGTTTTCTAAATCACTCCAGTTTTCCAGTGTCATTCCTGTACTGGGGGCCCAAAACAGACCCAGACTCCTGATTGGGATTTCACAAATGTCACACAGAGCAGAATAACTGTTTCCCTCAAGCTCTTGGCTGTGCTCGTGCTGACATAGCCCAGTACACGATTACCCTTCACCGCTGCAAGGGCACACTGCACTTTTGTGTTAATGTCAGCTTCACCAAGAGGGACGGACAGGGACATGCATCAGGACTGCCACGTGGGTTTTTTTCACAGGTGCATTTTCTTTCTGCGTTTTCCAGATATATTTCTATTCATTTGAAGTATTCCACACAGCCAAGTTTGAAGAATATCTTATCCCGTACGTGTCCCTAGGAATCGGCTTGTGTGAATGCCTATCTTCTATCCTATGCGTAAGTCTCTTCTGACTAAAGTTTGGAGGAAAGAAATAATGTAGTTATCCACTGTACTTTTGTTTTTTTATAACTGTGGTCAAAGAAAATGGATTTTTTTGCATAACCAAAGACATCTCTTCTTGCTTCTGCAAATCATATGCAGGATGAAAGGCAACTGTTTTCTCAAGTTATTATATATATGGACATTTTAGACTCTTTTTTATTCCACGGAGTTGTTTTCTCACTCTGTTACCAACAACTCCTAGAGCAACTGCTCTGTGAGAAGGCATGAGGTGACCAAGAAATCGTTGGTGTAGCACCAAAGGGATATGAGTCTTGGTTAGGTGCAAAAGCTGATGCTCCTGGGTAGATGTGTGAGTGTGGATGTGTGTGTTTGCAATTCAATGTAGATATGCATGCAAGAAAGGGAACTGTCTAAGAACAGAAAAGGAATGATTAGTAAATACAGCCTTGGAAAAACTAATGAAATCCATCAGCAGTTTAGAGGCACTCAAATGGCATTGATTTTTGGCTGTATTATTCAGATAAATCTTCTGATAAGAGCACAGAGGGAAGGATTTGTTGTTTACAAGAATTGGGATTTATGACATGTGAAACCTCGGTATTTTCTGCTTTTCAGAGCACCCTTATAGAGCGCTTTGGGAGGAAGGCGCTGCTTCTGGGAGGATATACGCTCATGGGCTTCGTACTCGCGCTCCTGACCATGACCCTCTCGCTGCAGGTAGAGAGAGCAACCCGCTGGCTACACACCCCACATCAGCCGGCCCTCCTAGTCTTTTCCTTCAGGATAGGCATGAAACTTCAGTCCAAAATTCCCAGCACTGCTACCCTGTTATGTATCTAACTATTTTATATTACTTTGTTTTATCACATTAGCACCAGTTCTTTTGGATGCACTACTTCAGTGTTATCTTGATCTTCCTCTTCGTTATCTTCTATGGAATTGGACCATGTGAGTACATCAGTGGTCATGTTGGGAGGAAGTTTTATATCATATTAGTTGGTTACAGGACCAGCAGAAGAAGAATGGGCTAGTCCCGTGGTAAATAGGTTCTAGGAAGTGAGGAGAAAGAAGTCTCAGTCCTGTGAACTCAATAACATCAGCAGACATGTAGAAGTGAGGAAAAGAAAAAGGATAGAGACACCTGCAATTTTTCAGACCTAAATAATTCCATATGAAGTATCATCTTCTCCAGAGGGTTTGAAAGAAAAATTTCAGAAGAATTTCTAAAATACTCATCTTAAAAAAAAAAAAAAAAAAAAAAAAAAAAGTGGATTATTGGATTTCAGGCATTGTTAAGTATATCATATTAATCCCATCCTTCATTACTTTAGTGAATAAAAGTTCACACCTAGCAACAAGCTCCAGGTGGAACGGACTACAGTGCCAGAGGAGCAGCTGGTTTTATGAATTACTGCATCAGTAGTAGATCCCAGTGCAATAGGGAAGTTCACAGACACACTGACACTAGTAAGAGGACTCCAATATGTGCATCTGAAACCTGAAGTCCTGAATTAGCAGCTGTAGGAATTACGGTCTCTTCATCTCATGGCAAAGACCACCTGCCAGCAGGCCATCCATTCCACCTTTGCCATTTTGAGGATCTTTGGCAGGAGCAAGGAACACTGAGGAACCAAGGAAACAAGTGCATTGTTCCTATGTTCTGCTTTTTCAGCTGGAGCCACCATATCCATCATGGTTGAAATCTTCAGCCAGTCGTTCAGACCATCTGCCTTTCTGATCGTTGGCTGCATCAACTGGATGGGGCTGTTTGTACTTGGGATGATTTTTCCAGTGATTGTTGTAAGTGCCTCCAACCACATCCCTCCCTGCAGGCTCCTCCGTTGCTGACGGAACGGAACAAGGGGACAGGGAACAAGACAAGAGCGATGCCATGTGAAGTGCAGGGCCGTGTTCCCCAGCCCTGCCCTGGACCCCAGCTCTCTGCCATGAGCAGAGTCAGGCTACACTATACATAGTCAGTGGAAACTACTGTTTGGGTACCTTTTCTGACCAGTTTCATGAGCACATCTCTGAATTTTAATTATTAAGATACAGACTTGCACCTAAAGGCAGGAAAACAAAATGAGATTCTTCTTTTCCTCACGGTATCTCTCATTTCTGCCTGCAGGATAACCTTGGACCCTTCTGCTTTCTTATCTTTTTGGGAATCCTTGCTTTATCCACAGTTTTCGTCTACATGTATCTCCCTGAGACCAAGGGAAAGTCCATCATGGAAATAAAAGCAGAGTTCAACAAGTTAAATTTTGGAAAAAAAGAAACCCCAGTTACAGAAAATAACTTTCCTAAGGAACAGCTGTTCTGCACCAGGCTGTGAATGTTCAGAGGAGAAATTTGCATCTCTTAGAAAAGACAGGAAACAGTGTTGCAAAAGAACTAAAAAAAGAAAAAATAAAAACAGACTGCAAGCTACACTGTGTCTTATTCCTATTGTTTTTGAAAATATACAGATATTAAATTCCTCTTGCTAGATTTTTATTTCCTCCTGACACTTAAACATTTTCCCAGGAAATTCCATCACTGAGTTTTAAAATATACTGGATATAAATAAAATTCTAAGTATATACATGTATATACTTCACAAAAGCAGTGACAAACAGTTCACGGAAGAAAATCTGAAATATAAAGAGATAAATAGAATAATATAAGGAGGCAAATTAAGGGAAGGAAGTATTTAACCAACTAAATGACCATCAATCACGAGACAGGGGAAAAACAGACGTCTAAAACATCTGACTAGCAGGCTGATAGAGTGAAAGCTAAATAAATGGTTTAGGGTGACCAAAGGAGATGCAGATAGAAAAGTCAGCAAAAAAAATCAGGAAAAAAAGGTTCTGGGGAAACAATACAGGGATAACATGGAAAGGAAAAAAAGGAAGGAAGGAAAAAAAGGAAGGAAAAAAAGG